GAATGGACTGACCCAAACTCAGCAGCCCAGATGGGAACCTCCACTTTTCAAATCTCTCCCCTCTATTCTCACCTCCGTACCCTGAACCCCCCTTTCTGCTCACCTCTGTACTCCAAAATCCCTTTCTGTTCACCTTCACACCCCCCTCTCTGCTCACCTCTATACCCAAACCCCCCCTTTTGCTCCCCTCTTTCCCCCACTACCCCTTTTGTTGACCTCTACACCTCAGTCTCCCCTGTTAGTACACCCCTGTACCGACCCCAGCTTCGTTCCTGACATCGCTTATCTTCTGCCTGTCCTGACCTCGGCTTGCCTACTGGATCTCCTGAGTCTACTCTCATTGTACCCTGCTTCCGCTAGTGGTCTCTTCTACCTCAGCTGGTTGTACCTGGGGGCCGCGACCTGGTTCCAGCCTGCTCCAAGTCCATCCCCAACATCAGGGGCTCTGGTGGACAGGCTGGGGCTTAGACTCCGCGCCCTGGGGAACCCCAAACTGTGGATTAAGAGCTCACTACCACAGGTGCTGACATACTCACTACCACAGGTGCTGACAGGTGATCACAATATGTTTATAGTTAATAAACCTTGGTACACTTACACTCAGTACTGATACTCAGTTACTCACATCAAGTGGAGGAAAAACATCTGAGATGTACAGTGGCATTATATTGTTTTATATTCCAAAAGAGTATCAGTGGAAGGCTCTGTTAAATAGAGCAGTATTGGTGCTATGGATGGTATGGTAGACTATATCATGGACAAATGATCCATGCTGGAACGCATGCCAGCGGGTGTATAACCAGATTGAATATAGGCCATTTCTGCCCCATATGCATATTGGGGCGTGGGCTAGCATCAACCAATTTGTAAAGCATCGCTAGAGGCAGCTGATTGGTATGGCTGTGAGCAGTAAAAATGGATGTGTTCCTGTAGGGGCGGGGACTAGGAACCGCCGGAAGTCAGCTGACCAGCCAGGATGGAAGTTCCGGTCTGACGTGCGTTTCATGCAGCCATAAGTAGATGGATGGCATCATCTGGTTAATCAGGATGACAGTTCATGTATGGCGTGCGTACCACAGGGACCAGATTGAAGGAACCCATCCCTGGCCTCTGTCACAGTATGCGCTAGTGCAGGCAGGACAGGAACGCACTCGGAATGTGGACCTAGGACATAATGCAGAGGGAACCAATAAGAGGAGCACAGAATGTTGGGCCTAAAAACAAATGAAACCCTGATGAATACTATGGAAAGGCATAAAACAGCTAAAGCTATATGGGAGATGGAAACAGTTATAAATAATCAATAAATATAGAATGAAAAGCTGTACTGAAGCATACAAGCATATGACATAATAAAAAAGTATATGTAAAAGACATATCTGAAAAAATTGATAAAGGTATTATTCTATATATATAAAAAGTTTAATAATTAGTAAATTATCAATAAATACCAATGGATGGAAGCTCCAAAAAAGGAAACGATAGATAAAGGCTCTAGGCAGAGAATGCATACTCCATATATGCTAAAATTAGATGATATATCAATAGAAATATGTATGTATTATTTATATCTATTTGTATGTTGTATGGGCAAAGAAATTGTATAGAGAGAGAGAGAGAGAGAGAGAGAGAGAGAGTCCTCATCGGAGTGAGCAGAACCTCAGGACTTTATAAGAGCATAAATCCTGAAAGGAAAATGTATATAGATAAAAGAAAAAGTTGGGGAAAATTATGTATATAACGACTGATGTATGTATACTGTATTCTAATGCAGTCAAAAGTATGACCAAAAGTATGATTAGATGTATAAATGCATGGAAAAATTACATAAAAGTAATAAAAGTGGGATATAGGACAAAAGAGGACAAGGGATCAATTTAGAGCCCCATGAATATCTATGTCCTCATTTAGTCCACCAGGGGCGAGGGAACCTAAGGTGAAGATCCAGTATGTCTCTCTCATGCATAATGTCTGGAGCCTCCTACCACTGTCTGAGTCGCCTTTTACAAATTCTATACCAAATACTCTCATGCCAGACGGATTACTATTGTTTCTCCTGAAAGTGTCGCGGAACAGAATAGTTATTCTTTTGTGATTTTTTTTGCGTGGATCTTTGCCATTAATGATGTTGCACTTACGTTCCCCAAACCTGACTTTCAATGGGTGTGTGGTACGTCCAACATATAAGAGGCCACATGGGCAGATCAGACCATAGATGACATAGGAAGTACTGCAGTTGATGAACTGCTGAATCTTGTGCATACGGCCATCGGCACCAACGGCTTCTTTTTTCCAGTGCCACATGTACGAGCAGGAACCGCATTTGGTTACCCCACATTTATAACTACCCCTTTGGTCAAACAAAGTTGACCATGGGCCAGTAGTATGTTTCCCAATAGGACCAGATTTCTTAATCCTACTTGGAGCTATTAAGCTCCTTAGGTCTCTAGGCTATCTGAAGATGATGAATGGCTTGGAAGCAAGACATTGGCCTAGGATTAGATCCTGTCTAAGGATGTTCCAGTTTTTTTTAAAAAACTTGTTGTATATCAAAGGCTTTTGTATTGTACCTGGTGCGGAATCTATTTTGATCAGTGGATTTGAAATCTTTTTTTCTTTTTTTGTTATTGGTGGGGTATGTGATTGCCAAAGGGGACTCCTCTGAAGGGCAGTCATTGTGCAAAAGCCCAATACTTTTAAGTATGCTTTCTGTGTTGTGTTCCTCTTATGTCTGCAAATCTTTTTGATTTAATCAACGACCACTTCATAAAAGGTAGGAATAAACTTTCCTTTTACCCAATGAGGGAAGAATGTCGATATGGGTTTGAATTCTGTGTGCATAACCTCTCTATTAACCCTTGTGTAAGGGCTATTATCTATAAGTGGGTCAAGCTCTAGTTCTAAGTCTTCACATTCTCCCTCAAGAAAGAGACTTTCTAAAAGAGGGAGTGTGGGATCATTGCTGACCAAACTAGTGTTAAGTACTACATCTGCAGATGTGTTAGTATGAGGTGGAGACTCTTTTTTTTATAGTGAAATACCTTTTTACAGATTCCTGATGAATTTATTAAAATCTATAAATATTTTGAATAAGTTAGGGGCATTTTTGGGTGCAAAATTCAAACTTTTACGTAAAAGGTTCAGTTCGATGTCTGTAAACACCAAACTGGACAAATTGTATATTTTAATGGTGGAATGGGTGGTGGCTATTTCCTTCCTCTTTTTGATGCTTTTACCCCCTCTTTTTCCTCATCTCCGCCTCCTTCTCTCTTTCATCCCATATTCCTCTGGGGAGCTGAACTGGGCTGGTGTATCATCGCGGGAGCTGAAGTCTCTGCAGGGTCTGTCTCTAAAAAAAGGTGTGGATTTAGGGGGATAGGCTGAGTATGAGGAATCTACCAATGGAGGATAATGGGTGGTAGCATGGGAAGTCTAAGTGGCAGTATATGAGTCATCAGTGTTGGGTATATGGGTATGAGATTGTAGCCTGGGTAGATCATGAATGTATTGTGGCCTCTTATCCTGGGGTATCGAACCTCTATAAGAGTCAGTGTGAGTGCCACTGTTCCTAAGAGACCCCAGTTGGGTACAGGATGAAGTGGAGGCGTGATGATTGCTGTTATGGGTATTCCTGTTAGAAGATGTGCGTCTAGGGTAACCCGTTTGGTATTTTCTAGCATTGGTCTTGGGGTGTTTGTAGGGAGCTCTTTGGAGCTCAATCCTAGTTCTTCTTCTGTTGTAATAGTACGCAAGTGGGAAGATTTCTTCCAATTAAATTAACGTCCTTGTAGGTAATCTTGCCTATCTTTTTCAAATTTCCCTGATTTTTTGCTGATGAGATCTGTCTCGAAGTTACCCATCTCTTCATTGATCTTTCTATCCCATGTATCAAAGGATGCTATGTCAGAATAAGAAGCTAAGTCATCCTGAATGGTCTTAATATCACCCCTAATTTTGGTAAGATTCCTCTCTCTCTGTGAAATTATATATTGGAGAAGTATTTTGTTACATTCTCTGAGCTTATCTTTCCAAGCTGATTTTAGGTAATCTTCTAACCAAATACACATTTTGGTCAATCTGAGACCTCTCGGGACTCTATTGACTTCTAGATATTTTTCTACTAGGAGAATATCCCATCATTGGGTGATTTCTTTCTCTAGAGTATGCTTGTGCCTGTAAAAGGAAGAATCAGAGCTGAATGTTGGATTGTCATTATTCCCTTTGGGTAGTTCGAAAAAAATCAATGCTGTTATTAAAGCCCTTGGCTAGGGACAAACGCCTTAATTCACTTTCCTCAATAGATAGTACCATTCTGTGCCACAAGAAGGAAAAGGGGAAGGGGGAAAAGGCTTATTTAAACATATAAAGGATGTATATATAATATAGAATAAATTAAATACATGTATATAAAAAATTGGTGTGCAGGGATACAGTCAATATGAGTGTCTATATCAATCAAAAAGGAGTCTCATACAAGTCCCACAGCAGCTGGAGATATCCAGAAGAGTCTAACTTGAAGAAAAAAATGTTTGTAATGACAAGTAACATACAGTTGGCTGCAGGTTGTCGTTTAGGATTGATGGCCGTTTGCAGAGTCAGAACCCAGGACATTCCTCCTACCCATACCGGCCTACATGCAGACTTGCATGCATACCTGGTATTGCCCTCTAGGGGGAGGCAGCTTCCTGAGTCCTCAGCTTTCCACCCCCCCTAGAGGGCAATACCAGGTATGTGTGCAAGGCTGCTTGTAGGCCCGCTACAGGGAAGGGGAGTGCCCTGGGTTCTGACTCTACAAAGGCTGTCAATCCTAAACTACACCCTGCAGCCAACTGTATGTCACTTGTCATTAGCCTGGCTACACTTGCTGCACTTGGCCAGCACTGCCCACAGCCCTGTGGACTGCACAGTGCTACACTGTACTGTCCCGACCAAGGTCCTGCTGTGCCGATGTACATTCAGCAGAGCAGGACCTCGGTCAGATCTGACAGCCTTTCTCAACCACGACCAGGGGCGGACTGATCATTTGGAAACTCGGGCACTGCCCGAGGGCCCGGGGTCAGTAGGGGACCCCATGAGATGCCCCTGGTACCTTTTTCATAGGCTTTTTTGAGTTTGGACAAGGACACGGGGCCCCATGATCCCCTATTGCCCGGGGGCCCCATGAGTTGTCAGTCCACCCCTGACCACGACGCTACGGCACTCCTGTGGACCTCAGGCGGCACCACAGTTGAGAAAGGCTGGTATAGTAGACAAAGAATTAGCAAAATATTAAGAACAGCAATCTTTGAAATGAAGGAAAAAAACAGAATACCTGATAATTAACACATAGGGGATGATTTACTAAAACCGGTGCACACAGAATCTGGTGCAGCTTTGCATAGTAATCAGTCTCTAGGTTTTATTGTCAAAGCTAACAAAACAAGCTAAAGTTAGATGCTTATTTGTTACTATGCAGAGCCGCACCAGATTTTGTGTGCACTAGTTTTAGTAAATCTCGCCCATAGTAATTAAAGGGAAAAATTGTTTCAGATATTTCTCATCGTGGGACTGTACAACCCCAGAAACAATTTACCATGATTCCACCCCACCGTAACCATCTGATCAATCATGATAGTAAAGAAAAACATGAAACTGAAGTGTGGAAAATTATGACTGTAGCCTTCATCTCTATTGGTTGCTTGATTTACTTTCAAAATTTCATTTCTAAGCATTTTATTTTTTACACTGCCCAGGATCAAAGCACTGATTATCTTCTAGCAATAGCTGTATTCTGTGCCTTCTTATCAGTGAGCAGGATGTGAGATAGGGAGGGGAGAGAGCCCTGGGATCTGAAAAATAAACAACCAGCAGAAAGATTCTGTACCTTTTATTGTGCTAATTCAATTAAAGCTGTGAACCATGGAAGACCATACAGGAAAGAAAGGAGGGGTTGGTTGTAGAGGGTGACTTGGTTAGCCAGTGTCCCTTGCACCCTTGCATACTTCAAGTGAAAGTTCAGTCAAAATACATCTAAGGCTAATCCTACTCCGACCCCCCATTCTAAGACTATTCTATCTACCTTGTGAGAGAAAAGATGGCTACACTTGTCTATTTTGAGGCCACTCTGGTCGGATCACATGATCAGGTCCCAGTGCCACCTTCAGTGTAGAGGAGGGACAACTGACAATGGATGCCCCATGGTAAGCGTATGGGTGACATCATGGCACATGCATTTGCAGCCATTGTCGGAAATCTCTTCTCTTCACTGAAGCCGTTTCTGGAGAGATCATGTGACTGGACTGGATCGGCTTTAGAATAGGTAAGTATAAGCATCTTTTCTTTCGCAGGGTAGATAGAATAGTCTTAGAATGGGGATGGGAGTACATTTAGACTTTGTCTGATTTTGATTGAACTTCCACTTGTTTTGTGCACAAGAATTAATTACACACTATTGTAGTTCACAGCATGGAAAATATGAAAAAAATCTAAAAACTGAGCAAGAGAGTTGTTTTCTGCAGTAAAATAAGAATTAAACATTAGGGAACTATGGGGTTGATTTACTAAGGGCATCTAGGCCGTTCACTTTGCAAGGAAAGTTGTACTTTGCAAAATAATTTTCCCCAGAGCTCAGTGAATGTGTTGAATCTCTGCTGACTTCCATCATCCAACCATAGGCAAGTATAAATGTAGTTTTTTTTTTCCCTTGCATATGAGTATTTTTTTGTTTAAGTGTTACTAAACCCACAACAGTAAAATCAGTCTGTATATGCAGTAAAGCATGCTAGTTATACTCACTGTGGAACCTAAGGGGTTAATCCTCTGCATTCTGTAAAAAGGATGTTTGATCCTGTCTTCTCTGATCCCCTCCTTCTTCTATTGTCTCCAAGCCATCTGCTGATAGAAAAGAGCCTTGAGGGCAAACATCACATGCCCAGTTTGGTGTGTATTGCTAGAGAGTTTTTGTTTTCTTGGGAGGGAGTATGTGATCAGCAGAGGGCTGATCAGCTCTGTCCAGACAGAGGATCAGGGGTCCTGCAGCCTCACAGGACAATCAGGGGAGAATAAAAACTCCTCCTACAGGCTTTAACCAGTGCTGTGCTGGACACTGATAGAAGTCACAAGACTGCTCTAACTGCTTCTGAGAAAAGGTATTTAGCAGTTTATATTTACTAAAACAATTGCATTTCCATGTTCTGTGTACTGTGGAAGACCAGATATAGTGAATGCAGGGTCCTAGGTTTAGTAACACTTTAAAGAAAATTTCCCCACATTTACCAAGCTCTGGGGAAAATTACCATGGAAAGTGCAGCTTTAATAAATCAATACACCATAGGCCCATTCAAAACCCCCAAAATGGGGAGGAGGAGGACAGGGTTTACCAGCCAGGGGCTTCAGAATTGACTACCTACAACTACATGGGGGCCTATATCCTGGAAAGAACAAGGGGAACTCTCTGGTCAGATAGAAGGCCAAGGCAAGACAAAGTAAGTCAATCAGGAGGAGGCCCACTGACCAAATGGCCATTTGGTCAGGATAAAAACAGCAAACATTTACTGCTCTGGATGGTAGAAAACACAATCTAAATTGAAGGATGAGGGGGTTAAGAGGGGTTTTTCATTGTTTTGGCTTATGTTTCCTGTAGAAGGAGGAACAAATCATCTCTTGGGTTGCTGTAATGAAAGATCATTGGGGAAATTTCACTTTGCAATATGAATACCCATTTACATGCAAGGGAAACAAACAAATAAATAAACAACATGCTTTCTTGCACATGATTGGATGGGCATCAGCTTCACGTTGTTCAGTAAGCCCTGAGAATAATTTCCTTGCAAAGTGAACAGTCTATTTGCAACCCCTATAAGAATCCTAATTACTTTGTAGTGTCTTAGGCAAGCCATAGATGATGCGATTTTCTTTCCTGCAACCCGCTGTATTCCCTCATCAATACAGTCAGAGTTGAATTCTTCTCACTGAGCTATTGTGTTCTCCTGGAAAAGCCAAGAGAACACTCTCTAGTGGCTATAGTCACATATATGTGGCTTTATTCAATAAAAGTTTATATTCTCAAAGTATAACTAAAGGCAAACCAGTAATTGAGGGGAAATCTTCCAATGGCAATGCTAGTTTTGGTGACAACCTGGGCATTCCTCACTTTAGAGGAATTTCCTTTCAGTTCCTGTTTTGGCTATGGGACAGGAAGTGAAGGGAAATCTTCTCTTCTCACAGCTGCTCTGATCAGAGCGTGGCGATTGTCAGTCACCGCTCTTTGCTCTGCCCCCCGAGCTAACTGCAGCGCAGGGATGTGGAGGGGGGGGGAGGGAGTGGCTGGCTTATGCTCTCAGCGGATCACTGACAAGCTGAGCAAGGTGACTCCAGACTCTGGGGTGGATCCCGACTTTAAAGTCAGGATCTTTCCCCAGCCTGGACCAGCTGAGTGATGTCAGCCGACAGCGGGCTTCAGCTAGCTGCACTTCTGTGAACCACAGGAGCAGGGGCGGACTGACCATTTGGAAATGCGGGCACTGCCCGAGGGCCCGGGGTCAGTAGGGGGCCCCATGAGATGCCCCTGGTACCTTTTTCATAGGCTTTTTTGAGTTTGGGCAAGGACACAAGGGCCCCATGATCCCCTAATGCCCGGGGACCCCATGAGTTGTCAGTCTGTCCCTGCACAGGAGAAATACAGCCAAAAGAGCTTTGGATGTACTTCTCCTTTAAGCGCGTTTAGGTGCATCAACACTAGAGCATTTTTTCATTTAATTGGGCAGAATATTAATTCAGACCATTGAAATGAAAAAAGGAAATGCTCAAGAGCTAAAAGTGTTTACTAGCATCAAGTATTTTTTTTTTTACCAAAACGCCCCTCTCTTGAATGCACAAGTAATGGTTATTTTTCTCCCTTGCCTCTAAACTCATGTAAACACCTATGTATGCATGGACACATAGGTTAACATGAAGGGCAATTTAGAGGCAGAGGAAAAAAAAAGTTCAAACACTTGTAAAAGCAGCATTTTTGAGCTCAAGTGTGCATGAGTCCTAAAAGTAAACCTTGTTGCAAAAAGTTAAACAGATACATAGAGGAGAATCAGAAACAATATAGAGTTCCAAATATAAAATCAGCCTAGTCACGAATAGGTGAGAACATTCCGTATAAAAGCCATAACCAGTGTGATCATGTAGACAACAATGGCCATATGGCATCTGTTTACCGAGACAAAACACGTTTAATGGAACATCGAACTGCCTTGTGTTTTGTTGATTATGTTGCTGTAGTCATTTTTTTCCTGTTCAAACAATAATCAGAGGATAGTTATCTACAGGGTACTTAAGATTAATCTTGTTGCTATGGCAAAAAGCTTTGGGGTATTATGATCTTTTAAAAAAAAAATTGGACAGCTACATTTACAGTGCTAACAAAATGTTCTAAAAGTAAGAGGATTAGGTGAAAAAACCTGGCAATATCAGAGACGATTTACAATGTTAAGTCCCATTTGTTTTACAATACTTCCAGCAACAAAACATGGTAAAGTTTTCATACAGAACCTTAAAACATATTATTATTATTATATACAGTATAAAGCGCCAATAGTTCGCTCAGCGCTTTCTGTACATTACAAAGGGAGACAGAACATGTGACAGAACAATACCAATACAATGCAAAACATGAGGGGATCGAGGGCCCTGCTCTTTCGAGCTTACAATCTATTATTGTTATTGTAATTATTCAACAGTAAGCATGCAGTTAACCGCTTCCCGACCTCCCTATAGTGGAACTACTGCTACAGGCCGGCAGGGCTGCACAAAATCACGTAGATATATGTGATTTCGTATTTCTGAGTAGGGGATGCGCGTGCCGCCCTACCCGTGGCACCATTGGCGGCTACAGCTGTAGATCACCGGGTCCCGGGCGGAGATTCCTCACCGGCACCTGGCAATCGACGAGGAACACAGACAGAGGAGAGGTCTGTATGAAAACAATACAGATCTCTCCCCTATCAGCACCAGCACACTGCTTTGTATTGCTGTGCATAGCACAGCAATACAAAGCAGAATGCTTACACAGTAAAGCACGCACAGACAAAATAGTAAAACAGCACACAGTTAACCCCTTCCTGCCCAGTGTCATTAGTACTGATCACTGTATTAGTGTCACTGGGGATGTCAGTGGCAGTTAGTCAGTTCCCTCCCAGTGTCAGAATGCCCGCCGCAGTCCCGCTATATGTGACTGATCACCGCCATTACTAATATAAAAAAATTAAAAAAACAAATTGCAGTATATATACTGCCATTTGTGTGACTTTCACATAAACCAATTAAGTTACACGTATTGGGATTTTTTTTTAGCAAAGACATGTCGCAGAATACATTTTGGCCTAAATTTATGAAGAAATTTGATTTTTTAAATTTGTTTTACTGGATATGTTTTATAGCAAAAAGTAAAAAATATTGTTTTTTTTTTTTTTTTCAAAATTGTCATTTTTTGTTTATAGTGCAAAAAAATAAAAACGCAGAGGCGATCAAATACCACTAAAAGAAAGCTCCATTTTTGGGAAAAAAAAGGACATAAATTTAATTTGGGTGCAGCGGTACATGACCACACAATTGTCAGTTAAAGTAACGCAGTGCCGTATTGCAAAAAAATGGCCTGGTCAGGAAGGGGGGTAAATCCCCTGGAGGGCAAACCAAAGAACAAAAAGGTTATATGTTGCAGTTTATCAGTGACTGCTCTAGCTTTCTTTTTTTTTCCAGACTGAATAATTTCTGTAAGTATAGAATATAAAGTACCTGTTGATCTTGCCAAAAATTCTATATCTGTGCCAGTTCATGTGAACCGAACCGAAAGCATGAACAATGTGATCTTACTCAAGACATCCAGCTTGAGTGACAACCTGAGAGGAAGTCCAGCCTGAGTGACAATTATGGATTCTTGTAGCCACCCTAAGAAGTGTTACTTGCAGGATCACCAGTTAATAAATCCTGAAAAAAGTAAACTAATGCAGCCAACACATTTAGCAATTGGTAACGTAAAGTTGGATATTTCAGTTCTGGGTTTATCAGAAAAAATCCTCATCAAGCAGCACTTTTTATTCATTTTTTTTAAGTTATATTATGTGAATGAGAAGAAATACAAAAGTAGTTGTTATGCCAATTTGACTGCAAAAGTGGAAATACACTTTAAATGTAGGAAATGCATCCCTAAAACTTCAAAGTTTCTAGGACGTATCTCCTACATTCAGCTCCTTTTCTCCGACGCTGTTTCGCCTGCCACTATTACTGCTCCTATATAAAATGACACTTGCAGATAGTTTGTATACAAGACAATATTGCCAAAAGAAAGCATAGTCTGCGCTCCAAAATCAATCTATGTGCTACTATGTTACCTTAAAGTGGTTATAAAGGCTCAAGGTTTTTTACCCTCATGCATTCCATGCATGAAGATTAAAAAACCTCAGTGCAGCATCCCCCCTAGTCCCCCCTAATACTCACCTAAGCCCCTTCTCGATCCAGGTATGTGCACTGGAGTCTCGGCCATCCCAGGACTCCCTCTTCTCATTGGCGGAGACAGAGTGGGAGCCATTAGTCAATTACAGCCAGTGAGCCAATGAGAAGAGAGAGGGGGCAGGGCCGAGCCGTGGCTCTTTGTGTGAGTGGACACGCGGAGCAGTGGGTGCCCCCATAGCAAGCTGCTTGCTGTGGGGACACCCAACAGGAGGGAGGGGCCAGGAGAGCCTGCAGGGGACCTGAAAAGATGATAATCTGGGCTGCTCTGTGCAAAACCACTGCACACAGCAGGTAAGTATAGACATGTTTGGTATTTTTTCCATTAAAAAGAAAAAAAGCCATTAGAGTCTCTTGAAGTAAAGTTATTGTTGAGTAAACAGGTCCACAGTGGAAAAGTAAACATTGCTCTAGTCAAAAAGCATTATAAAAGTGCCAGAGCTGAAATGGTTAAACTAAGTGATAAAAAAAAACCTCTTCCAATATGTATAGATTTTGCAGGAAACACTGTTCTGGGCTCCCAAGGTCATGTGCTTGTACCATGTGATTTCAGCTGTTGGGGATCAGGAATCAGTCTAGGTTCACATCCATGCAAGCTGCGGTTCATGCATTTTTCCAACTTTTTAACACACATTTTGATGCTTTTTTTGTTTGTGGCTAATAGGACAGTTCTGTTCATATAGTGCAACTTTGATGTGACTTTATACTCTCTGGCACTCAAATAACATCAAAGTAGCATCAAAGTCACATCAAAGTAGTGCAGGAACCCTTATGTGTCAAATTTTTTGGCTAACAGGCAAGAATGACAGTTCTGTTCATGTAGTGTGACTTTGATGTGACTTTACACTTTCTGGCACTCAAGTCGCATCAAAATAGTGCAGGAACCTTTATGTGTCTAGTCACAGGTTAGGGTTAAGGACTAGGGTTAAAGTGGTTCTAAAGGCTCCAGGTTTTTTACCTTCATGCATTCTATGCATAAAGATAAAAAAACCTTCTGTGTGTAGCAGCCCCCCCCCCCAGACCACCTAGCACTTATTTGAGCCCCATCCTGATCCAGCGATGTCCACGAGAACGTTGGTTCTCCAGAAACTCCCACTCCTGATTGACTCACTTGCTGTGATTGACAGCAGTGGGAGCCAATCTGGAGAGGGAAGGGGCAAGTCCGAGCCATGGCTTGGTGTGTAAATGGACATGCAGAGCCATGGCTCAGGAGTGTACCTGTTCGGGTACCCCCATAGCAAGCTGCTTGCTGTGGGAGCACCAGACAGGAGGGAAGGGCCAGGAGCGACGGCAGGGGACTCACAGCCGTGTGGCCAATGAGAAGAGCCAATGAGAAGAGAGAGGGGCGGGGTCTAGTTGCAGCTCTGTGTGCGAGTGGACTCACGGAGCAGCGGGTGCCCCCATAGCAAGCCGCTTGCTGTGGGGACACCCAACAGGAAGGAGGGGCCAGAAGAGCCTGCGGGGGACCCAAGAAGAGGAGGATCCGGGCTGCTATGTGCAAAACCACTGCACAGACCAGGTAAGTATGACATGTTTGTTATTAAGAAAATAAAAAGACTTTAGTATCACTTTAAATGTTAGGGTTAAAGGCTAGGGTTAGGGTTAAATGTTAGGGTTGGGGTTAAGGGTAGGGTTAGCAGTAAACATTAGGGTTAGGGTTAAACATTAGGGTTGGGGTTAAGAGTTAAAGTAAACATTAGGGTTAGGGTTAAATGTTAGGGTTGGGGTTAAGAGTTAGCAATAAACATTAGGGTTAGGGTTAAATGTTAGGGTTGGGGTTAAGAGTTAGCAGTAAACATTAGGGTTAGCAGTAATCATTAGGGTTAGTGTTAGCAATAATCGTTAGGGTCAACAGTAGTTAGCATTCTAACCCTAACAATTACCACTAGCCCTAGCTCTAACCCTAACCCTAACATTTAACCCTAACCCTAAACCCTAACCCTAGCTCTTAACCCTAACATGCAATTTTGGACACATAAAGGTTCCTTCTCTACATTGATGTGACTTTGATGCTACTTGAGGGCCAGAGAGTGTAAAGTAGCACCAAAGTCACACTACATGAACAGAACTGTCATCCTTTCCTATTAGCCAAACCCCCACTCCCACAAAATGCATTAAAAGCACATCAAAAACTCAACACTTGCGTTTTTGGTGCGGGTCCGCTAAAGTCTATTA